AAAAAGCAGAGGCTGGCAACAAAGCCCCAGTCATTGTGCCAGCCATACAGGAGCTGTGCTTTTCTGTTTAAATCCCAAAAATGCACAAGAGATAGTTTGTATTATGGGCATTCTGGGCATAGTGCCACCTTACCAGACACTACAGATAATTAGATTCCCGCTGAACGATTGGAGAGAGCAGAGCAGAGCGGCTGACTCTAAAGACAGCAGGTGAAACGCAGAGCATTTTGGTATCAGTTGAAAATGAGCTCATCCTCCAAACTGGAAGTGGCACTTTTCAGCCGTACGTCATCTAATCACGTCTGTATAGAGCCAGAAATCGCTGGTTGATCAATAGTCATCATGGATGCTGTCAATGACCAGAGTAGCTTGAATCTTGCATGGTCCATGAATCTCTATTGAGTATGGATTTTGCGCTCCCTGCTCGGATGGAGTTTGATAGTACGGCCTGATTGGCTGCTGCCTGAACTCTTTATGCTGCTGCGCCCCGGGCTGAATCACCTGCCCCGGGCATCCATGTGAACAGACATATAAAAACATGCACACACAGTAGTACACACACTGAAAATGATGCGTTCCCTCTAATGAAGCAGTGAGCCAGAAGTGACTTTACCAGTTGGATGTCCATGTCGACAACTTTATAATAATGCAAAGCAAGCCACTCAATACAGCGGGTGCTGAAACATTTATATGAGATCAGACTTTAGATTATTTATATACAGGGTGATGAAATGTGAGAACAAACGTTAGATAAAGAAACATTAATGGACACACAAGTCATTCATGATTTAATGAGAGAACTATCTATTTTTCCTGGTACTATGATTGATTTGAACTGGGGTCTAGGCAGGTAGGATGTCATTTAAAAAATAAGGAAAAGTGTATTCAAAATGCCAGGCATGTTGCCCATGCATGCACCGTATTGCTGCGTGTGTTTGTGCATGTGTGTTGACAGACATCAGACAAACTGACAGTATGACGTTTGCATCACTGCAAGAAAACAGCAAATTGCCAACATAAATAAGGTGCCACGCTCTAATTAGGACTGTCTTCACACATCATTATGGTCTAATGAGAGAGTTTCCCCTCTCTCTCAGCCTCACTATAACGGCATGTCTGTTTGCCACCACAGACTTTTTGCATTTTGCTAACCCATCTAGCTGTGCCTGACACCTGTCCAGCAATGATGGATGAATTTAAGTGAGGTGTCGCCAGGGCAACTGGCAGGCCAGGGGCAGCGGTGGCCTCTCGAGGCAGGACAGGTACCCGGTGGTGGCCCTGCCTTTATGTGAAGGCATAATTTAGGCCAAACTGTTTATCACTGTGCTGTCTGGCCTGCTGGCCCTGTGTGATCTGTGATCGGGTTCCACTCAGGACCGCTTTAAGACCCCAAGTGGGGGCGTGTTCAGGCCAGATTATAATACCCTCTCATTGGGCAGAGCAAGAGTTTCATTGCCTTGGCCGCTCGCTTGAGTGACAACACCAAATGAATTTGCTGCATCAGTGTCTGACTTTGGAGGACACACGTCGCTGTAACTCTCTTTTCCTGCTGTCTGCAGTGACAGCGCATGAATACATTATGGCTCCCTGTGAATACTCCTATAAACCGTTGTGTGTCATTGTTCAATTGTGTCTCATTTGCACCCCAAACATTAGACCAATAACAATTTCACATCTGGTAATGTGTGTGTATGTGTGCATACTCGGCACACCTATGTATTTGTTTTTCACAGTTTTTGTGTCGGCACTTCAAAATTACACACTGGGAAACTGCACTTTTAATGAGAGAATATGTGTGTATGTGTGTATAATTATAGTTTAATTGCTTGCCCTGTGATGTGCTGTCATCTGTCACAGCCCAAAGACAGCAAATAATGGTTCTGCTGTCGTCACTTTGTCACCCAGACGCTCAGCATGCAGAGAGCAGCAGAAACACCAGTAACTGATATGCGTCTTGAATTACTGATAAGCGCTGGAGTATGATGAGCTTTGTGTATGTGGGCGTGCTTGTGCTATCAAAAGAGTCTCGGCCAACCTTTCTATCTCGGTCTATTGTTATTGTCTGTGTACATACAGTAAGGGGGGCTGCGTGAGTGTGAAAGTACGTATGTGAGGTTCTTTGAATATGTCTGTGTTACTGAGTGAGTGTAGTTTAGTGCTTAAAAACTCATTGTCTAATTCTGTGTGTATGTGTGAGGGGGTGGTAGCTGGATGGAAGGGTGAGGGTGCACAAGATTACGTGTATGTGAGTTTGAAGCCTACTGTATATCGGTACTGACGGGTGCAACAGTTGTGTTATGCTTTAAGCTGCTTGTTTGTCTGGCACGCTGCTTGGTGTGGTTGAGAAATGGAGTAAACAGAGGGAGGGGAAATCAGCCTGGGGGCTAATTTATTCTCTCTCCAGTGGCACTAGTCACAGAGGCCTGTTGCACTGGCCCACCTGTCAATCCTGAGGAACATGCCATCGCCTCATCCAGCTGCACACAGCCACCACGGCCCACTCATAGTGGGCCAAGCGCTTTAGGCTGGAGCCGCATTAACCATGATATATCAATAAACTCTTGGTAATCAGAATGAACAAGACAGCCAGTTTATTTAGCACATAAGTAGCATATTAAACAATCTGGCATTTTCTCTGGCAGTGAAAACAGTCACCAGTTAGAGCGGGAAGCCTGAGTTATGAAGGGTGAGTCTATGTCATCCCCTCTTTCTCCCCCTTTCTCTCTAGGGCTGCTATTATTTAAAGGCACGAAGCCCCAAAAAGTGATCTTACAAAAAAAAGGTACTGTTTTATCTGTGTTTAGCTTTTAAAGTCAAATATTGAATTGGCAGAATGTCAGCATTTCTGTTTGTAAGCATCTTTCACAAAAATATTGCAACAGCATAAACAGTTCAATGCCTTATAAGCCGATAACATATTGCATCACAACTGCCTATTTCCCCCCCTAAAATGCACAAAGTATAGTTTATGACACAAATAACTACAAAACCGCACAGGAGAAATGTGTGAGCTGCTAGCCGTTTTAGTTCACAGTAGTAATGTGATGTTCAGTGTGCTGTGGGAGTGGGAGGCAGCGTCTGTCCGTTGCCAGCTTGGAGTAATGGATGGCAGAGCTATGGGAGAGGGAGGAGGCATACATCCTATTTCAGACAGCTGTAATGGATGAGTCTACAGCAAAAAAATAAGAACGGGAGGAAGTCTGCATGCTCTCACTATCTCAAACTCACACGCAGAGTTTGGTAGTATAGAAACCGGTTCACAAAAGATGCAACCGGAACAATGGAACACCTGGAGAAAGAGTCGATGCCGATATGACTTTTGTTGTTTTTTCCAAATTGGTCGTAAGATGTCTGTGAATGTATTGAACACACAGCCATACATATACTGTGTGATTTGTTCTTTCTTACCTCTGTAATGTGTTTCTCACCATGTGCCCAGTGTGTAGCCATGCAGTGGATATCTTGTGTAATTAATCAGACAGTTTGATGTGGGTGTTTATACAGACTTCCTCTGCAGGCCCTGCTCTTTTTAACTAGGTTTTAGTAAACAAGACTGGCACATAACACATCTCGAGGCACATATTCATCTCATGGTCCTCAAAGCAATGTAGCCCAATGGCCCTGTGCCCTCCATCCCTCTTCCCTTCCCCCATTCCTGCACCGTTTCCAACCTCCTAACCAGTTCACAGTGCGAAAGGAAAAGCGCCTTAACTTATTGAGCTTCAGAATAATGAACCTTTGTCATGACTGTACATGCACACCCTCTCGCTAACAGTGTGTATATCACTCCAGCTTTGATTTCTCCTCATTTCTCAACAAACAGTTATACCAAAGTGGATTGGAGTGAAGCTCAACCCTCCGACCTGCTTGTTTGATTTATTCCTCGAAGAGCCCAGCTCCCTTTCTTAAGTGCAATCCACCCTACCCTCACTGTTCTCAAATATTGTATCGCACAAAATGACAGCCTATTTCCTATATAAGGTGGGGGTTTGGGGGTTGGGGGAGAGTGCTGTAGATTCTTGTTGCGGCTGTAAACAAGCAAAAGCAGGCTAGCAATCCCTCTGGGTCACCTGGGAGCTGGGGCCCAGGGTCTCCCGGAGAAGGATTGAGGAGGAGGATAAGTGCTGCCTTGCTCCTGTTCCTCGCTGCACGGTGCTTTGTTGCGTTTGCCTCTGCTGCCGGCTGGTGAAAAATGTCTCCTGGCCACTCTGCCAGATACCGGGAGGCGTTATCGGCCCTTTCTAGCGCTATCCAGGGTAACGAGCCCCCAGGCCCAGTATTATCTGTTTACGATAAGGATATTAATAACACTGTGCTTTAGTTATGTGCAGGGGTGCCCTGTGGGGTGATGGAGGGGGAGGGGGAGGGGGAGGGGGATGGGGGGGGGGGGTCGGATTCGGTAGCACCTGAATCATTCTGTCAGGGGCTCTCTCCATGCGGGAAGGAAGGAGTCATGTGGGGATGCTAGGAGGACGGTGCAGGACGGTGCTGAGGGGTTCACCGGTTAACCCCCTCCACTTCCTGCTTCCAGGTCACAGTCTTTGTTTCCAAGAACAATAGCTTGACCATCTGGCAGCAGGTCAATGTGGGACACTAGGTCACAGCTGTCCTGCTCCGCCTGCAGAGGTGGAAGAAGTAGATCTCTTAGATCTTGTACTTAGGTAAAAATAGAACTACTACAGTGTAGGAATACTCTGTTACGAGCTTTTGGATTGACTCTAGTTGTAACTAAAGCCTTATTCAAGTATTGATTATATTTCACATTATTAATCAAAATCTGCAAAGTAACTAAAGGTACTAAATAAACTTAGTGGAGTAAAAGTACACAATTTACCTCAGAAAATAGTGGTGTAGAAGCACAAAGTAGCTAAGAAAGTACCTCATAATGGTACTTAAGTACAGTACTTGAGTAAATGTACTTAGTTACTGTACACCACTGTCAGCCTGGTGTCTGTACTGTACTCTAGTCTAATGTCCTCCCTTGTCTTATTTTCTTCCAGTGTCTGTATGGCTGCTACGTCCACTCCTCCATCATCCCCACCTTCCACCGCAGGTGCTACTGGCTGCTCCAGGTAAGACCTCCTTTTTCTCTTTCTCCACAGTTCAGCACACTTGAGTTTTACTCTCAAACTCTCCACAAGAACTTGAATGAATTGCATGATATCAGTTTCCATTTAACTGAAGCATTTACCTTTGACAGCCGGCAGGCAGACATCAACCTATCCCCCCTCCACCTCCCTCTCTCTCATCTCCTTTCTCTCCTCAGCCTCCATTTCCCTTATCTCTCCCAGTCATTCACTTTTCTGATGGCATTGCCCATACACGCCGTCCAGCACGAGGGCGGTATCTCAGTCTGCTAAAAGCTTTGCCATCTCCCCTGTCTAACAGCTGCGGTGATGGGCAGTAAAAGCGTGATGGAAGACGTTCCCTGTACAGTAGAGTGTGCTTACAGTGGATCGTCAAGTCTGCAGGATGAGAGTGGTTGTAAATAGTATTCATTTGATCACCCCCCCCCCATACATCTCATCATTCTCATTTAGCATGGCAGCTATTATTGTTCGAAGGTGCCTGATACGTACAACCATTCACACACACACCATTTTAAGGGATAATAAAGCACACATGCAGAGAATAAGGGTGTGTGAAGCTGCTGCTATTTTTGTCTACCTATCTGTCGTTCTATGTATTTGGCAACAATGCTGCCAGCTACATTTCTCTAAGTTGTATTTTCTGTAGACAAAACGGTTGAGTCACAACATCCCTGCTGTACTAAATAGACCCAGAAGGCAAATTAATTTGTTGTCTAACCAACCCCCCTCACAATGTCTGCTAGCAAAAGAGGAGAGCAGGCCGGTTGGGAAAAGGCAAAAGGGAAAAACTGGCCTCAACAATGTTTAAATACTAATCAAAATAATTAGAGTGTTCCCACAGCAAACAAAAGCTTTCAAACAACAACAGTTTATTTCTCTCCCGCTTTCTCTGTTGGCTCTGCGTGTGTCACAGGCAGTAGTAACAACACGAGCTGACTGGAAGCTTGTCGTTTCCTTTCTATTCTGAGTTCTATCAGCATAGCTTCTCAGGTTATGTCCCCTTTTTTTATCCAAAGGATTAGAGGGTACAGTGTATTGTTAAAAACTCTAAATAATGAAAGCAAAAGAAACAATGGTGTGTGGAGTATATCATGCTCAGTCTGTAAATAACACAAAACACGGTGGTTCTTGTTTAGACCTGGAGAATGATCAGAATAAGCTCTTGTTCTGGTGAGGCGGCAGATCATCTCTAATCTGCTTCCATTTGTAAACTGTCAGGGAAATCTTGTGTTGATTTTCTGTAGTCATTTTGTGGTTGCACGAGGAGCTCCCTTATGGAATGGGTTCACATATTTTCCAAGTCTATCTTAATACAATACTGACATTCCCATATGTGCATTGCAATACTGGATGCTGTAATCATTCCTCCTGTCAATACTGGCCAAGAAGAAATTCTCTTCTAACATCATTTGAATGTAAGCGATGATTTACAAATCCACAGTCTTTCTTATTTGCACAAATGATTTCTAAACCTCCCTCAGTTAAGTGTGCAACTTCGACTCTTTCTGGTATGAACATTTCTTCTTTTAAAGGGGCCCTATTGTGCTTCTTTTCAGTTTTTATAATGTTTAAATTGTTGATTGTTCAACCGCCCAGAGATGTCCAACCCCATAGCCTATCACTTACAATGTGTTGAGCACTGAACAACAGAAGTACAAGTCTCACATTGTGATGTCACTGTGTTACAGAAGTAAACAAAGGAATCCAATGGAGGCGTTTCAGGCAGGGGGGGAGTGTGTGGAAGAGAAACTCCCTATGTAGGGAACTTATATAACACACTACAGGAAAGGGAAAACCCCAAAAGGCTTAAAGGTCACCAATTATGCAAAATCCACTTTTATACATAAACATGTGTCCCCTCTGTGGAAAGAGATTCTGAAAGTTACAGGAACAAAGACCCCCTCTCTTTTTGTCCTGATCCATTTATATAAAAACCTGTCTGAAAATGAGCTGATCAGATTTTGGCCACTTTATGATGTCATAACGATTTTTTGGCTTGTGTAACCATTAGCCAATCACCAACCAAGGTAACACCTGCCCACCTTATCACCTGAATCTCCTCCTAGAGCACCATTGTGTTCTTTTTAACCAAATATCTCTCAGAGGGGCGTGGGGAGGGGCTCCTTATTTTCATCTAAAGTAACAGACAGAGAATCAGCACTTTTGAAACAGGGCTGAAACAGAGGGGATTATGGGATGCTGCAATGATCTGTTTATTTTCACACTTAAAACTGTACATTTAAAGGTACCCACTTTATTGGACGAACACATCTGATTCCTGATTTTAGCCTTATAGTACAGAAAGAGGAATGTGAATGTTGTCTCCCAACATTGGTATTGCGTTAGTAAAAAATCTATACACGGCCAGTATGGACGAGAAGCTTTGATGAATTACTCTTAAAAAGGTACATATGGGAATTCCGGTATTTTCTTTTTAAAAGTGAACCCTTTCCTTTGGTTGAGTTCAGTCCTAAAGGAGGAGCACCACTGGGAGGTAAAAACATGTGTACACACAGAAGGTGAATAATGCAGAGAGCTTGGGTCAACCAGGGTCACCGGCTTTTTTTAAACTACAGCCCTCTTTTCACTCTCCCTCTGCCTGTTTTAGCACACTCAAGTAAACACTCATAAAACTTTGAGGAGTTCACTGACTTTTTTGTTGTCCTGTTACTGCAGAGCATCAGCTAAGAACAACTGTGTTGGCCCTTCACCTCTCTGTCTCTCACTCTGCTCCGTAGATCTCCTACATGTCTCAAAGGTACCAGCTGTGCAGCATCCTCTTATTCCAACAATTAAGAAAACCTTCTGCTGTGCAACAAAAAACATTTACTCACAACCAAGTGTATTCTTTGACACTGAGATTTCCTGGAACCCCAGATTTCCATCTCTTTTCAGACGGTTTATTGCAGAACATCTGTGCTGAGAGGAATGCACAATGATATCAGAGGTAAAAGATTAGACCACTTCAGGGCAGACCCCGACAGATGCAGATAGACCTTCCACACCTGTCCCCTCAAGCCAATTTCATTCAAACACTCAGCTCTGGTTAAAACAGTCTCTTTCTTCCCTTCTCCACCTTTCTCCAGTCTCTGAACCCTCTGTCCCTGACTCCCTGTGTACCATGTGCTGTGTCCATATGAGATTTGCAGGCAGTAGTCTGTCAACAGCAGAGCAGCAAGGAGACTGGAGCTCCCAGAGCGGCAACAGGGAAAGGTCACCAGTGAGTGAAAAATGTAAATATTCAGCCAACCAGCAGCCACAGTCACGGAGAGACAGGGATGAAAATAACTCCTATTACACAGCACCGACAGGGAGGGAACACAGAGGACAGAGAGGGTAGACACAGACTGTGAATGAGAGAGTAGGGAGATGGACACAACTTTTTAAAAGTTAGGCTAAAAAAAGCTGTGGAGAAAGATGGATTCAAAGATGTTTTAAAAGAACACACTGCAGAATAGAAAGGGGACAGTGTGTATATATGTGTGTGTATTTTTGGATGTGTGTGTGCCAGAAAGACAGAGAGTGAGGTTGGTGAAAGGTATTTTAGCGAAGGTGGGTTAGCCTGTGGGTGTGTGCCACTTTATCCACTCTTTATCCACTCTTTATTGAGTCAAAGCCTGGGTAATGAGACAGGGGACGCGATGGAAGACCTGCAAGGGGGGTCCTTTCTAACTCCATTCATTTCCTTTTGTTCTTTTCACCTCTCACTCTCAATCTGCTCATCCCCCACCACACTACCTCCACCTCTCTATGGCATTAGACCACTTTAAAATGTCTGGCCCATCCCCACAAATGGCTGAGACTAAAGAAGAGTGCCACCACCGTTATCTGGGGTTGCAGACAATGAATCCAAATTGCTGCTGAGACAGAGAGTTGCCCCGAGCGGGCTGTGTGGTTTGTCACTCAGAAAAAGTTCTTATTTCGGTGGAATTGGTGAGAAATAAATAGAGCTTTTTGTTAAACTATGGGATCTTCTTTAATGCTGTAGCAACAAAAAACACAAGTCCGTAAATCATCATAAACATTAGGGCTGCACAATATAAGGTACAATGCGATAAGACTGTTGAATATTGCAATAAAAGTAATACTTGTGATAAATGAACGAGATATTAAACTCAGTTCTGGATTGTTGCTGCAATCAGTGTACTGCTAAAATACAACATATTGCTTATTGAATGAACGAAGAGAAACTTATTTACAACATATTTGTATTGAGCAAATTGAAGATCGAACTGAACACAAAGGGCACCGAATACAAAAAGATTGATTGTAACATTTTCTGCTAATACTCTCTTTCAACTTATCACTGAGTGCAGCAATATTGCAGTCTTTAGCGATGTGTTTATCATGCAATCTACTTTGTAAATGCTGTCAGCTGGAGTATGCATAACCAGATACTTAAAAACCAACTTCTATTAGTACTCAGTCGTTCCATCTTCAAGCTGCCATGACACACACACACACACACACACACACACACACACACACACATTGACACTGAGGATCTCTCCTATCCTGGTGGCACTGATTGATTCTATTGCTCCGTGTCCCCTTCTCTTGTTTAGTGCTAATCGAATGTAATTCCACGCTTGCGCCTCTCCATCAAATCAGACAGTGGAGTTTGTGCTGGCCGACGGGGGCACAGAGGTGGGGATAATTATGATATTAATACGGAGGGGGTCTGAGGGGAAACTTCATTTGTCCTGCTGCCTGCCACGAACACAGAGAGGGGTCAATAGCCTTTCCCGCTTTTCCTACTTTAAAGAGGAGGAGAGAGGGATGAGATAATGAAATGACTAGTAAGGCAGCAGGGAATGCTGACGACCTTGTTTCTTCACAGCTATCACTTTCCCCCTCTTACCTTCCTCGGCTTAGGCCACTGTGCTCTAGTCTCTGTCTCACAAGAATACATTATTAATATCACCATTCACTGCAGTTACATTTTTCTTATTACATTAGTCCTTCAGAGTATAATGACTTTG